GGATTTTTATTCCTCATAAAAGACAGAATGTTGTTTCCTCGCCATGACGTGAATGAACAGTTGTACACTGAATCACGTAGCGTAGACCCTTCACCATGGACTATATAGAGATAATGAATTATTAAGCTGTGTTTAAGAAACGCAATGGTTTTGTTGTTGATGAGAAATTACTAATACCAATGCAGCAATAAATGAGCTTAAAATAAGATCACCAGACAGATGAAGTGACTTCATTCATCATTTCCCGCCTTGATTCTTACTACATTGGAGCATTATACTATGATCAAATTTCTTTCTCGTCGAATGTCATGGCGCTGTCTTTTCTTGAGTCTTCTGACTGGTATTTATATTTCTAACATATTTTCCAATACGTACATTTGAGTACATTCTCGAAATTTTTAGTAAGTACCAGCAGAATATCGTCCGGTATAAAATATATACTGTATTAGGTAACATTTCTAAGCTGATAAGGTTGAGGGGCTTTAGATTCGACATAATTTATAGACAACTTCTGATCCAATGCAAGGCCAAGTTATTCATCGATTCTATAAAATAAAAAAAACCTCTTAGCTTTCTCGCAGACTATTTCTGCAGATGGACTCTCGTAAGTGTTGATCAACTGAATTCGCAAAACAAAAAACCGAAAATGCTGAAGACTTCTATACAGTATAGCAGCCAGCACTTGTCCAACCAATAAAATCCGATCAATGGCGATGAAGGACTGTGTGATGTCAGACACGCAGTTTCCTACTCTGGGTGAGTGCACAATGCCATTTCACTGCGCAATATTTAGATGTTCAGCGAAGGACAAGACCAAAAAGGCTTTTGTATACCATCCTCACCATCAACCATAGATTCACCCTTCCGGGGTCAAAGTCCTTCACAGCAGCAGATATGGGAGTGATGGACATTTGCATGCAGATAATATCCTGAAACTGGCCAAATTATACAGCATCTACATATCGAGCTACTGCTCAGTTCATTCGCCTGAAAGCTTTTGCTTTGCTGGCAAATCGCATGCTTTCGTATGCTTTAGTTTTTGAGATTGAATTTGCTAATTTTAAGACAGTACCTCAGCACAGGAACCCGCTTCAAATAATTATCTGAAAATAAGCGAGACCGGGTTCCCTTCCGAAGGTTCTTCCTCAGATTGTACCAGAGGTGAAGGCTTACATAAAAACACGACGTGCTTAATTGGGAAGAAAACGGGTTGGAGTTAAAATAAAATTTTCTTGGGAGTAAACCTTCGGTTCAGAGGAAAAACAAGTTACTTGAAAGAAAACCGTTTTTCTGATCCACTTTATTCAATGAGAAAATATCAAACTCTGCTTTAGTATTCGCAGAAACGTACGTGGGATTTTTGTTGATGATGGGGAAAAAGAGAGATTTCTTTATGCATGATGCTCCTGTATAGTAAATATTCTACAAGATTAGAAGCTGATTCTTTGACGGTAAACCGAAATTACGCAACATTTCATACACACTAAGGACATTATTCTGATGCATTTAGTGTATCTGCGGTGAAAGAAAAAAAAAAGACCCTGAAGAAAAGTGAACATATGAGTGAGTTTTCTCGAGGTAAGCCAATTTCGGCATATGCAGACACACTTGTGGATGTTTCTGGGTTTCATTTGATGAAAGTCTGGAGAGACGAAGCCTACTATTGCTTTGGTATATACATGTAGTTCATTCTGCGGAAGTCGTATTGATCCTGTGGAGAGCCGCAATTGCATCGCCTTTCCGTTTATTGCTATTGCTTCAAAGTTGCTGTTCTCCCCCTCTGTGTTTCAAGTTAGATATATATATATATATATATATATATATATATATATATATGTATATATATACGACCATTTGATCTAGTTGAATCGTGCGGAATAATTGTACGCAGTAGATTATTTGCTTCTAAATACTCCGTAGTTTCGACCGACTTTCATTAAAAAATCGGATCAATGCACAGCAGCTTCGTACTAATTTTTCGAGTGCAGAAATTAGTGGTTTATGGTATACTGTACAGTATTTCATCGATTTGGCGAAATTGTAGGATTATTTAGCTTGAAAAAGAATGAATATGTCATCGTCAATGTGCTCAATTTAAGCTACTGTGTGAAGTCTTGCTATGCTTCAATTCATGATCCCTGGAGATTTCTGGATTGCCTTGAATATCATTTGGAGTAGGCTTTGAAAGGAAAAACGTAATTTTTTGCGCATGCTGTATTTCTTGAATGCATATTCGAAGATTTTTGCAGCCTACTCAAGATTCATGGGTTTCCAAGTTTTCATCAGAATTGATACGCATTTCATGAACGGTTAATATCCCCTGAGCCCAGCGTACCCTGGGAATTTTCTACCTGCACATAGCCAACAAAAAAAAAGGTGTTCGATGATTTCTGGGATATAATTCTGTCATCGAAAAACTTCACGAATCCCTAGACTCCAAATAGAAATTGAAGAATACGACTTTTGATTTGATTTCGTCCAGGTGAGAAGGTACAATTTTTGTCTTCCTACAGATTTCGTCTCTTCGCCAGTGTTTTTTTTTTTTTTTTGCAGACCAAAATAGCGTCACATTATTGTCAGAATCTTTTGATGGAACTTTTAAGAGGCATTATAAGATACATGATATGGTTCAAACGTAATGTGTTTTTGTGATTCGGTTATCTTATACCCTAAAATTTGTTCCTTCGGAAAATGTCATCCACACGTGTGAGCGATATCGCTCATTTGTGCAGAAAACAGAGAACATGTCCAATAATGAAGGTTATTCAAGAGGTGATATTCGAACTCATTGGATTCATCTTACGAAAGCAGTAATTTTAGCCGCCAGAAATTGCATTGGATATCACAGACATATTCCTATATTTGAGGATATAATTAGATAGCATGTAACTTGAACCTTTTTACGATGTCAAAAAATAGCCTGTTCCGGGCTAAAAGTTCTAATTTCAATATCGAAACTTTCGTAGCATTTGGATTCAAGACTTCACCTCCAATGACCTACCCGATATATTCAAGCTTGTTGACGACCATTTCAAATCCGAGTTGATCACGGGGCATCAAGAGAACTTCTTGATTATAAAAGATGTTTAGGGTTGACAAACGATAAGAAATTTCGCTATAACGAGTCTCGCTTACGAACAAGAAACATTATTGAAGGTCCCTGCAGTATAACCTCCATACCATTTGAGCGCGGATTCAATGAACTTTTGTGAGAAATGTTTTTAAATATTTCCAATGACTTTTTGTGAAGCGATTTAATTTGTATGTATATTTTAAATTTTAAATTATTTATGGCTTATACTGTATTAAAAATGCCAATTTCTTCTGGATTTGGTCTTCATTTTGAACTATACTGATTTCAGTACTCTTGAGCGGTTTTATAAATTTTAGCTTTTAAAAGCTTCGAAAATTTGTAAAAAAGAAAAAAATTAGCGTCGTGTCGAAAGGATGAAGTCTGATGTTAAAATGTGATATTTTCAATTGATTTATCAACGGAAGCCTTCGCAAAATTCCCTTTGAAAGGACAAAAAATCATCCCTTTCTGCGAGAAAATCAACATAAAACTCGCAACTTACTTTGATTATTGAAAGATTCTCCTCACGTTCAACTCTGTTTGCGCACGAATATTCCAGCACTTGGGCGTCTTCTCCAAACTGTTGGGAAGTGTTTGCAGTAAAGATCAGGTCATCAGCAACTTGAGTGGGCACATTTTTGGGAAACTTTCCTTTTTTCCGGGGAAATTCGTTATAAAGCAGCAGTCAATAATTGAGTTATTGGGATACTCGTCCGACAAACGGAATATAGGCAAAATATGTAGCACGTGTTCGGAATGAAACCAAATTTTATGAGCTTTCAAAGGTAGTCCTACGTGCAAAAAAAAATGCATAGAGTAAACTTAAGTTTTGCAATATCGACGTTAGAATGCAAATTTAGCGATCCTAATTATGCCTTGGGCGCGCTGGGAAAGTCGTGAGCTTGGTTTACACTTCCAAGTTCTTTACTGATGTTGAATTTATTGAAGGAAATGTTACTGTAAACCGTCGGGAAGACTTATCCATTTATGAGAAACATCTAATTGCTTTGAGCTATCCAATAAAGGCCTACAGTATAAAACTTGTAACCCCCCTTCCCCGAAAAAAAAAAAACGGTTTCATAATTGAAAAATTATGCATACCTAACCCACAAGAAATTTATTTGATCTTTGTTTATTTTAGAGAGGAAATAAGAAGGAACCTCCCATAAGATTCACAGAAAAAATAATTTTTCTATTGATTGCAGTGATACGAGTATGTTTTTCATTAAGACCAAAGAACTTAAACCAGTTTCCTAGGAAATCCTGCGTCATTTTATGCAAATATTTTTTGCGTAAATTTTCAGCGGTAGAATTTCAAAGTCCTCATCATCGTACTGCATTTCCTTTGATTTTTCTTTTCCAAAGAAAAATCAGACTGGGGTTTTTTTCTTGGGAATGAAATGGGGAAAATGCGAACGGGGATTTTTGTAAGTTTGGAGAGGAATGATATGGAATCCAAGTAAATATTATATATTTCTAAGGAGGCATTCAGCGATCAAAACTTGTTTCTCTTGTCCTGGAACATGCTAAAAAGAAAAAAACACTCGCTTTTCTGAAAACTCGATCCTTGCACCTCGGAATGGAACTATCTATTTATGAATGTTCGATGATTTCTCGAGTAAAATCGCTCACATTTCATCATTGCGCATGTAAAAAAAAAAAGAGCATTCACTGTGGCTTTTTGAAGAAGGACAGTGTATAGGAAATGCGGTAGAGCATCGTCTGGAAAAGGTCTTCGAGGACATGAAAACTTCCCATCAAAGGAAAGTGCTGCTTTATGTAAACCGACATCCCAGTCAGTCCCCCATTACCTTTGGCATATATGAAAGAGAACGCAATGTACGATTTAAAAAATAAAAACTGATTTTTTTTCTCTTCATGCACTCTTGAAAACATTTACGATTTCAAAATCCATCGTTATACTCACCGATTTCTCCAAATCCTTAGTTTTTGATTTTCTTTTCCCGGCTCAACTCGTACTAAACTGACACTTTGTCCAACTGAAACCCACAAACTTCGCTTGTCTACACGTTTCTTCTCAGTTCCACGATCACCAGCTTTCCTTTTTTGTTCTTTGTTTGTGCTCTTCTGTTGGAAGGAAGATTCGCTCTGCCAGTTGGGAAAGAAAACTTCGCGCTTAGGTCAGGTGTTTATATGGGGGAAAAAGGCGACCTGATAGCA